GCATTCTCAACATGACGCACAAGAATGACACAACTACACGGAAAACAAATACTTTGAGCCTTGAAGATGATCTTAATAAAGATCGAAACGTTGGCATGATAAAGAAAATGTTTTTTTAAAACCTACGTCACACCAGATCGCATCTCACAATCACCAAATAATCATTATTTAAAAAATTTTACAAACCTCAATTTTGTCTTATACAAAATAACAAAATAAATATAAACGCTAGAATAAATATGTGTGATTAATTTACTCACCTTCAAAAGAAATGACATAACAACAATAATTCAATACAACTATTCCATAACGGAATAAAAAGGAGTTCAACAAAAACGAAAAGAATAATAAAGTTTATTAATCTTATAAATACTTCTTAGAAATAGGCCAAGCCGTCTGCCGATAAGGCAGTTAAAGTAAAAACTGTAATTAAAGCCAATAAAAGAGTTCTGTTTGGTTCAACTGTTTTGCCAGTTGTTATTAACCCTTGTTAGCTACATGGTCATAAAAAGTTTATTTCAAGTTCAGTTCCTGTTGTTAGAAGAATTAAAAGGCAGTTTTTATCATTATGATATGGCCAATCGTTTTATCAATCAAGCAATCAATGTCATAAGATCAAGATTTTGTTACTACTGAAATGATTTGGAGCGCAATGCTCGGTAGTGATCAAACGTGGATGCTTAAAAGTTGGTAAATCCATGATAAAGAAGTAATTTATCGCTAATGCGAAAAAATTCCAACAGTTTAAAACAAAATAATTGGAATGGCACACTTTGCTATGTTGAATACGAAATGCCGAGGATGTTTTTGTCAGACGTCCACGATTGATGGTTGACCCTGGCCTATTAGCCTGTCGGGAAAGAAACACCAACTAGACGTTTTATGTCGTATTGATTTTTGACACGGTAGGTAAGCTAATAGGAATTAATTTCAACTTCGGATAACAGAAATCCCCATGGGGCCTCCGAACTATACGGGAGTTAGAGAGAGGAGATTGATGAGCTTTGAATAATAATGGATATTTTAAGAATTTACTGCCCTTTTAATCCCTCCTGGGCGGCGTGCACGTTCTCAAAACTCTTTTACAAGATTAAGGGCGCCACACGGATGGAAGAGATGATACGTGTGTGACTGTTACTTCTTCGATACCTTTGGGAATAATGAAATTTACAGCACCTAACAAAAGTTAGGACTGAAGAAGAATACAATAGAATACTATGTATAAATAAATGTTAGTTAATTTAGTTCTTATTCACATATTATAATATATACAAAATATAAGCATAAAATAATTGCAAAGTGATCACAGTCCCAGCACTTTATTCACCTCTTTAATATTAATGTCTAAAACCATATCACAGAAGAAACGTAGTATTAACAATACATACGTATTTATCATAAGGTGTTCTGCTTCTTTTTGCAGGCTCATAAGTCCTAATGTCTGAAATCAGACGACAAATGGAGTTCGCACATATGTCCTTAAATTTTGATGTGCATTTGTTACTACTTATTTGTCTTAATCTCACAGACCTCATGGAATTGTCTGATCTTCGTTGACCGAATAGAAGCGAACTTGTTCTTGACAGTTTGTACTTTATTGTAGTTAGTTTCGCACGTTGATTGCCACGCTGCGCATGAATACGTTAGAGTTCGTTTGGTCACCATGCAATATAATAGCAGTTTGTTATCCTGGCCCAAACCTGATTCCCAGCGAAGTAGAGGAAATCAATTTTTTACTGTTCGCAACTATCACATTGACATGAGTTGTGAAGTTCATTTTTCTGTCAAGTCATAAACCCGGATACCCTATTGAGTACCAAGACCGTTAATTCTCACTTCACCTTCGAGGTTAGGTCGCCTTTTGGTGAAAAACGATCGTCTTAGTTTTAGTTGGATTAATTATTATCTTCAACTTTTTAAGATATCAATCTAATTTATGCAAAGCAATATTTAACATAAATAAAGTGTCTTTATAGTATGCAAGCTGACTATGTGTTTCATTTTTCATTTCATTTGTTTAATAATAACATTGATACACAACGATAATTATGTTTTACTTTAATCCTGCTGATTTTGTACTTTGCTATAAATTGGCCGTTAAACCATTGAAATTGCTCGTTGTCTAGATATTTCCTTCCGAGATTTTTCATTAAGATTAAATAGCTGGATTTAATGAATACCCTAATAAATTTGAGGTTATTTCTATCGCCTGTATACTTAGGCAAGTCAATTTAAAACTAGCTCTACCTCTTTAATCAATATTTTTCATTTTGTTATTGTTGTTTTTTTATACTTTCAACTTTGGTAGAATTAAAACAATTGGCGAACAAAAACTGCTTGCTGTGTACTAAATCCCTTTGGGCTAATTTAAACATTCTCGTTTTCAAATCTTGAGAATTTAGAATAACCTGGGACTCTAATGAAACACTTTTATTCTTTGTAATGTTGTGAGAAAATTGCAACACACCTGAAATTTTGTTAAACTTCTCTTGGATTAATCCCAGTTGGGATTAACTGTTTAGTTTATATATTACCTCGTACAAGGTGTAACCAAAAACAAAACAGAAGTTTCTCGATATGCCAATATGTTGGTCAGCGTAAATTGTCAGTTTATTCCAATCTTTATCTTATTTTGTAGTGTTTTCGATTTGATAGGTCGACTTCGATTCTATGCCATATTACTGTTATTATGAAAGTTTCTGATATCGTGTACAACAAATAATGCAGAAATATATTTACTTGTGAACGTCAAAACTAAATTATCTACCTTTTTTCTTGTAATTGTACAAGAGAAGCCTTGTGAATTTCATTGTTATTGCTGAGGAGTGTTATTAGAAGTCAATGACAACAACGCACGAGTTTTAAACGAAGAGTCCCCTCATGGATTCATTCTTTTGGCAAATGTACAGCCGGCTGTAGACCACTCGATCCCTATCGCCGTAAGCACTTAGATGGGGCGATAGAAAGAAATTGTGTTGTTGCGCCACCTTTCTATCTTCAGCCCCATTTTACTACCTACCTGCCCTCATAAAGCAAAGCCTTTTATGAGAAGACGCCATACCAAACCAAGGAACCGGGGTAAATAAGTAACGAACAGGACAATGAAGTGAGAAAGTGGTGTTCCCACCGATTTAACCGGTCTTTACTTCCTTTTTCAACCCTCCTTCTAACAATAAATGAATAATGCAGCAGTCAAACATTGTTACCTTTAAATTTCCATTTATGAAGTTAAAGTTTTTACAGAAAAGAAACTTTAAAACAAGGCGAAATTAATCATAATTTAGTTGAATCCTAGACTACCCTTAGAAGGTCAAAAATCATCGAAAAGTTATCAAGTGAACGTCATTTTTTTCTTTACAATTTGTAATTGTAATTCCAATAATACCACAAAATTAATTTAAACAAATTTCCGGGATTACTGGCGCTCTTTACAATCAGAATTGTTTTATCTTATTGGCTTTCTATATCACATTGTCGTTATTAATCAACAGTCAAAAACAATATTTTACTAAACAAATTTTGCTTTATCCTAGCAGACTCAATTTAAAAAGTAAAATGTTATTCATAAACATAAATATTCCTGTTTCATTTCCACACTCTCATATCAACATACTGGAGAAAATCCTGTTTCAGATATCAATGGAAAAAACTATTGTGCTGTAGAGTCACGAAATTATATGATTATTCCGAGAATCAATAATCATACAATTGTGTGTGTTAAAATGTAACTAATAAGGAGAAAGAAAAAATATATTTTGTCAGTGGAGGAGGTAGATAGATAGAGAGAGAGGTAGATATATATATATATATATATATATATCNATATATAAACAGGCAGAGAGAACAAAAGGGAGTGAAAATAGGTGAATAGAAAAGAAGGAAAGAGAGAGACAGAGAGAGGGAGAGAGTATAAGAGAAAATAAGAGTATAGAAAAACAAAATAATTAGGGTGTGAAAGAGTAAGAAAGAATAAAAGCGTAGAAAGGTAGAAAAGAATGAGAGGAATAAGAGAAAATAAGAGCATAGAAAAACAAAATAATTAGGGTGAAAAAGAAAGAGTAAAAAAGAATAAAAGCGTAGAAAGGTAGAAAAGAATGAGAGAGAGAGAGAGAGAGAGAGAGAGAGAGACAGAGAGACAGAAGGGAATGAGAATAGGTGCACAGAAAATAAAAAAAGAGGGAGGTGGAAAGAGATAGTGACAAAGGGTAAGAAAAATGAGAATTGAAGCATAGAAAAAATGAAAGAGAGAAGGAGATAGATAATTCACCTCCACTTTTCATGTTCTATTGAATTCATTAATGTCCTGTTAAACATCAATCTCTACAATTTTACCGTATTTCGACACTTTTCCAAGATTATTTAATAGTTAAAGAGAGACCGACAGTAGCCATTTTTCGGTACCATTATCTCAAAATCGTTCTGGTCTATAAGAAGCAACCTTTTTTTATTTAAAGTTTTATTGTTCCTAGTGTTTAAAAAAATATTTTCCACTCCTGGGTAATTTTAAAACAATTAATCACTGTTTATTTGCCTACAATTGCTTCTGATCGAGCATGGATTTTTCCCGCCCAACTTACAAATACTTCCTTTTACAATAGCGAGTTGACTGGAGATGTTTTAGTTGTGACGGTAAAATACGAGAGTTTTCAAACAGCTTAAGGAATGGGAGTTTCACAAAATTACTTGATGTACTTCTATAGCCCGTAATCTCATGAGACAAAAAATGTTGCAGCTTAATAAAACGATATGTTTTAAACTGCATTTATTTGGTCGCTACCCTCTTAAACTGTTTTATTGATTGATCTAGTTGCTTCATTAGACCTTTTTCCTAACTATTTTTTAATTTGTAATATTTTCAAGACTACAATGAGATTTTTGACAAAGAGCAATTTATTTATTCTAAGTCAATGATGTTACACCATTTGGTGTCGTTATTTTTGTTTTCAAATCAAAAAGATAAGAGTAGTTTCTGTAATTTAATTGTTTTGTCATTTTATTAGGCATGGGGAGGGACGGAAGGAAGGCCGAAAAGCAGAAGGGAAAATGCCATGGACCTGACATACATCACTGAAAGGATCCTGTCGCTATGGTTTCCTTACGACATCGGGGCGCAAGAGTACAGAATGGGCCACCAGCAAGTCGCGCACATGCTTCAGAGCAAGCATGGATCAAGTTATATGGTAAGTTTTAAGTTTATCATTCTGTAACTACACTATTTAGTGATTCGGTTCAATGAATGCCCGTCGTTAGGCACCTGATAACACGGTACATAAAGCACTTATCCATGGCTTTTCGGTACAATTAAACAAAAGAAAGTTAACAATACTGCGGAACGAACACTTGCAGAATGTAATACTATAAACTCCTCCAGCAGTTCTCCTGGAACAAAGTAAATTAGAAACTAGAGAACTTTGCCTGCTTTTGACATTAATTAAGAAGCCTCTTCCTTGCCTTGAACTAAAATTATGGTTGACCGCAAATATATTTATATATATTTTATTTCTTAATATTATTTTGTATCAGGGAACCCTACAAATGATTGAATAATAGATTAAAAATTGCTAAAAATGATCTTACATACGATCATTTCTAGTAATGCTATTTGGAAACTTGAAAGATGTACGTACACGTTTAGTTAAAGTATCAATTTATAATTAATTATTAAATTAAAAATAAAGAGAATTTAAATGCAGAATTATTAATTAATACAGCTAGATGTGAGTAGTATTATCAAATGTACCTCCAAATTAAATTATTATTTAGATTATCCCAAAAATAGGTCTTTTGACAAAAGGTGGTTTTGAAAGCGAGAGGAAAGACTTTTTAGAGACTTTTTCAACCAGGTCGATGTCAATTAGGATCCTTATTGCTTTATTGAAGGTGAAAAAACATTTTTTTAATCCAAAGCATTGTTATAAAACCACAAGTGTTAAGTACATAATATTATTATTTTTATTTTATAATTTATAAATCAAATTTATTTGTAAACAATTCTTATTTAGAAATTTAAAACAAATATTTGTATAAAATATTCTTGGAGTGATGGATCTAGGGCCAAATCCGAGAGGACAAAGCCCAAATACTAGCCCCACACCTCTCTACTGTATGCATTCCCCACTTAGACATCCAAACCTTCACCATTCTGAAAAAATCCTTAAAGAACTTGACGAACCATTACCTCAATCTCTCGTTCCAAAACCGTCCTCTCCTGAAGAAGTCAAGGAGGTCATCTTAAACCTTTCCAAAAAGAAAAGCCCCGGTTACGACCTACTCACTCACATCAACCAACTGCCTAAAAAAGCCATTATCTTCATGAGTTACCTATAAACGCGGTCCTACGCAAAACCCATATCCCTATTCTTTGGAATTTTTTTCCATCAAGATGATCCCAAAAGCTAAAAACCTAATCACCTTCCTAACCCCTACCGACCCATCTCCTTATTCCCAAAATACTGAAAAAGCTCCTATTATTGATCCGCCTGTCCATGGAAATTTCATGTAACTCAATTCCTCTATACCAATACATTTGGCTTTCGGGGTTGCTACTCGACTGACCAACAAGCACATGGCGTTATTTCCACATCTTTTGAGCTAAAACAATATTGCTCAGTTGCGTCCTTGAATATACACCAAGCCTTTGACCGGCATTCTAGATACAATAAGCTCAAGAACATCCTGCCAGCAACCTATTACCTTATCCTAAAATCCTATCTTAACGATCGTTACTTACAAGTATCCCCCAAAACGTCCATCCTATTCCAGCAGATGTCCCACAGGGCAGCGTCCTCTCTCCTCTGCTCTATTCAATTTATACCTCCGAAATACCGAACACAGTCACCCTCACCGTGGTCGATGATACCGCTATCCAGTCTCTTGATAAAGAGACAATGCTCCCTTCTATGTTTTCCATCACACCATCCATACCGACCTAAATCTAACTTTTGTTACTCATCTTGCTCAATTCCGCTACAAAAGGTTTCATTCCAAACTATCCCACCATTCGAACCCTTTCGTTAAAAACCTCTCTTCCACCACATTACCCAATAATCCTCACAGGAGTGAAAAGTCGGTGGCCCCGCGACAACCTCACTACTTGACCTGTATCAATTTCCTCAAATTCATCGATTTCCTAGGATGGAGCACATTCCACTCATCATGTTAATGTTATACCGTTTCTATCACTGGATGGTTGCTGTTAACGTTTCCATTTTATTGTTTATACATATATACTATTTGTTTTACTTCTTGCATCGAATGAATGCAGTTGTAACAAAAAGAATAATAAAATTTTTTTTATGTTTACTGCCTTTTTGATTGTATTTAAACTAAAAACCATAAGCATTTATAGCCAACGATTTATGTGTGGTACTTAGTGAGTGTATTTGTATAAACAATGTTTATAAATCCCAGGCCCTGAAGATGATTTCAATAAAGATCGAAACGTTGCCACAATAAGGAAAGTTTTTCTAAAATTACGTCACACCCGGCCGCATCTCACGATCTCCAAATAACCAACGATTTATTTTTGTCACACATTTTTTATGTATCTATAATCTACAATCTGTTTAATGTTCCACAATTGCTTAAACTGTAGTGGCTAGCCCCTTTGATAGTTCTCACCGAGCTAATGGCTGTTTTTTTTTTAAATATTATTCTATAAAATTGTGTTGTTGTTTTTCAATTTTGGAAATAAAAGACGTCATCATGATTTATATAACTTAAGAAATAAAGTAATAAAACTTGGTATACATAAAAGTATTCTGAGTTTGTGCCCTTAAAGACCTCGATAATATTTAACAGAGCTCGTTTCATTAACCTAATGAGTTTAACACAATTCTAGGTGTTCAATTTATCCGAACCAAGAGGAGGAACGAGACGAGAACACGTGAGGGTGAGAGAAGTGGGTTGGCCTCCTGACTTGGCACCACCTTTGGAGCGATTGTGTTCCGTGTGCAAGGACATCGATTCTTGGCTGAGCGAGGACTCTTCGAGAATTGCCGTTCTTCATGCAAGGTAAAACAATCAATGAATCACTACATTTATAAGCATCATTTAATAGGAATTTAATCAAAATGTATTATATGAGAACTTTGACCGGATAGCTTAGTCAATGGCCCGCATAAGGAAAATAGCTTGAAATACACGATGTTTAAGACCCCGAAGGGAGATTTCGGCGTGCATATCCGGGAAATCGCGCGTAATCGCTTGTAATATATCAAATGAGTTTAACGAGCCCGGATTTTTTTTTTTTTTTTTTTTGCCTTCTCTCTTTTGGTCTGGGATCTTTAATAATACCCCCGAGTCCAAAACGGCCTCGAAAAAATTTACGACCTCTCAGAGATGAAGAAACGTGACTGCCCATTTTGTATTTAACGCAATTTTGTCATTCTAACATGTGCTACGTTGTTTTGTTGTTCCGTCATTAAATCACTTCCCTCAAAAAGCAAAAGCAGAATTGGGGTCATTGTCACTATCTTTCATTTAATTTTTCATAAACGGCTTCCTTAAACGTATTTATAAATATCGTGTAATATTATTTTTACAACGATAACAGACAGTTTAATAATGATAAAATTAAAAATGTTTAAGGTTTAAGCAAATTGTTTCATCAGACATCATAATATATAATTTAGATCAAATAAAAAATATTATATATGAATATCATTTACAAACCGTCGTAAGTGTCTAAATTAACATTATTGGTTAAATTAAGAAGCCAATTGTTTTTTGACCAACTTCCTTTCATCGTACAGGTTTTTCAAATTCAATTCACCCTTTTGCAAATTACATTCACTCTTTCTACCATAAATTCCTATTGTATAAATATTAATACATACTGCACCTATTTCTATATTGATTTTTTTTCAGTTCACGTTTTTTCACGGTCACGGAATAAACTTCTGATGCATTTTCTTTCCGTCTTAATGTATCACCTTCTTGACAGAGTATAACAAGTATGCAGGATGTCACCTTAAATTGCTCAAAAATGAATAGGGATATTTTTAATTTGATCTTATTATGTTAATTTTAATGAAATTAACCGATATATTCTTGTTAGTTGGATAACACAAAACAGAAAGGACAAACCAAAAACAAACGATGTGTTATTTTAATGACGGATTTACTTAAGAACAGTAAACATGAAGATTACTCAAACGAACAACTTTTCTCCATTTTAACCCAGTTGTATTCTCTTTAACCGTTGGAAGACGTCATCTTGAGCCAGAAGTTCGCAATATTATTTTGAGAATGACTCACCGAAGTTACCAGCAAATGGATATCGCAGAGGCAATTGTCGTAGTGTCGCTTTTTGAGCGTAGTCTCCCGGGCTTTAGCCCCATTCCGAAAGACTGGAAGTGTCAGTAGGAAGCCTGGTAGTGGATCTCAGCGCATTACCGCAAAGGGAGGCCTGAAATATTGTATTTGCTGCACGACCAAACCCTTTCCATAATGCCCGCCAGATCCTAAATGAAGTACAAGATGTTTTGGCAAGGCTTTTATCAACACAAACGATTCGTAATCTTTTGTAGGAAGTTTGCCTCACACCGTACGCCACTTTGAGAGACCCTGCAGCAACTCAGGAGAATATGGTGCATTGCTTTCCCGTACTCGGTCGTTCTTAAAAGGACAATGAGGATCTTTAACCTCCGCACCTAGTCTTATCGGACGTTTTGATTCTCAAGATGAGAGCTGACGTCCCTCCGCATACGACAGAAGTATGTTACTGCCGCAGCATTGGTTTAGAAGCAGCTCAGCCCCGAGGGGCCAAGACAACCTCGCTCCTCGCTTGCAGAATGTAGAAGAATATATAGGATAAGAATATGGTGCAGCGAGTGCCTAGAAGAGAACACCAATTGGAATGCTATTATGTTTACTGATGACACGCGTTTCTGTCTGTATAGTGATAGCAGGCGCCGAAGATCTACCGAGAACAGGGGATGCGTACAATCCCTCACTTCGCGCTCCCTTCAGTGCAATTTGGTAATGGCTTGGGCTGTAATTTGCAATGGAGGACGAACTGGACTTGAACATTGCTGCAGGCAACCTCACCACCGAACGTTATGTCCAAAAAATTAACGAGGAGTACATCCCTCAAACCAGGGATCTCATTGGCAGGGATTTTCGATTTATGGATGCCAGATGTCATAGGGTTGTTCATCAATGTTTAGAAAACCTGGGAATTTCCCATCTTCCCTTTCCCCCTTTGCCTCCAGACCTCAATCTCATTGAGCACATGTGGGATGCGTTGCAGAGAAAGCTTTTCGATCATCATTCGCAGCCAGTTGACCTGCAACATCAATTCCTTATGAAATTAGTGACGACCTTATTAACAGTATGCCTAACGTGCACAGAGGTTTTAGCTAACATAATTGTTTAAAAAAATTATTGCGACCAGTAAACGAAATTATGGAATTAAAACCTTTTATTTTGTTATTTTTCAAAATCCCTTAATTAAATTTTCCTTCAGTAAAAACGTAATATTTCTAATAAATTTAAAATAAGAATTTATTTTTGAGCAGTTACTATTGCTGTTTGAATGAATGAGTTTTTGAAATTAAATATAACTCTTACTAATTATTTAGCATTATGTGATGTTTGTTAATGTAACATAGATGTAGAAATGCTTTGGCGATTGGTGAAATTGATTTGCAAAAGACTTAATTTAATTTGCAAAAAAAAAGGGAATTTAATAATAATAATGTGGGAAGTTTAGGGGCCGAGGTTTTCACCGGTCCTTTGCGCGTTTTTACTTCTTCTACTACTTACTTTTTCTGGTCTTTCACGCACATTTTTCAAACTGCAGCCATTTTAGCGTCTCAATTTGTTACTGTCTCTCTTCTTTTATATTAAATCTAAGTTTATATCCTAAAATGCTAGCCTCTCAGTACCTCCGGTTGTCAACTAAAGAATAAATACAAAACATACAATTTATACACATGTATATTATACATCACCACTATACACAAACATAGAAGTCCGATTCGGTCACATTCATACTTACAGAGTACTCGGGGTGGGTTTGAACCCACTTCGCTTTCACCATCAACTGGGAATTTAATTTGCGAAAGATAAACTTGATTTGTAAAAGAGTGAATTTAATTTGCAAAAACGGAAATTTAATTTGTGAAGGTGTGAAATTGATTTTCAAAAGAGGGAATTTAGTGTGCAAAAGGTGAAAATGATTAGCAAAAGAGTGAATTTAATTTGCAAATACGGAAATTAATTTGCGAAGGTGTGAAATTGATTTATAAAAAAGTTAATTTAATTTTCAAAATTATGTATTACCATAAACAAAGATTGAAATCTTCAATTAATTCATAAATCTTATTTTAATTATTTTGTAAAAACATTAACTATATAAATTGTTGAAACCAGGTAGGTATGCAACTCATAAAAAGGAGAATGTGATACAGTTCTCAATGTCAATGTTTGCCTGAGTCTGAGCACGTATAAATAATAAATACGCGTTATAATTTAGAACATTTATTTATATTGAGGCTATAAATTTTTTGAATCGCCTCCAGGGTATTCGGAGGCGGTTGTTATTTTCAGTCATAAGTGCGCAGAGGCAATATTTTTGACAGGGGTAAATGCTCCGTTGAAATTTTATTTTCCGACGCGAATCGCTTTTTTGCACAGCTTCATATCCGAAAAACCAATGCCAAAGCCCTTGTTCTGAACAATGTTCACAAAAGAATGAAAGCATATTTCATTAATGAGAATATTACTTAAGACAGGCCTAGGCCCCAGGCGGAACTGGCAATGTGCAAGTAAGTTTCTCTTAACTCAAAGCCTTCACAGCCTATTGTAATGTTCCATATTTTAAGTGACGTAATAATAAAGGGCTTACGTCGTCATTAATTCTATGAAACCTAATTATAATTATGAATAAGTTTGATATATAAATAAAATAATTATTGTATCTGTATTTATTGTATACAATTATTGCATAAAATAATCCAAATTTTGAATTAGTTGTGCAAGATATTTTTTACATTAAAGTTAGTTAATGGTCATTATCTACTTTATGAGATTCTGAACATTTGGTCGTTACCGCTTATCCTGGACAACCTCGTTGTGTTGATCGACTCAAATCAACCCCAGCAATAAAATAGATGGCAGACAGACTAAAAACGTTTCTACTTACTACAGAGCAATATGAAAACGAACTAAAAACAATAACCATGGCACACACCAACAAAATAAAACAAACGCACAAATGCCTTCAGAGACTTCCAGGACCATTTCACTAGTTTGGAATAATGGTTCAGTTTCATATGATTCAATTTTGATGGGGTGGGGAAATTCCGCTATTAAAATGACGTTAAATTTTTCACTCCAATCCTTAAATATTTATCGAGTTCCAAACATTTTTTAAGTTTGTTTTTCCAATCGCTGCCGTTAATGAATCAATTGTAAAAGATTCAAACAAATTTCCATCTACTGATAAACTATGATTGATTACAGGGGGAATCGAGAGAGGATAGGGGTGATCGTCGCCGCTTACATGCATTACAGCAGCATATGCGGCAGCCCGGAGCAAGCTCTCGACAGATTCGCCATGAAGAGATATCTAGATCACAAAATCGGCGAATTGGAATTGCCATCGAATAAAAGGTTAGTCTGTTCTTTTTTTTTTCTTTTTTTTAATACAGCTAAAGGTATAAATAATTAAACTATTCCATAAAAGCCAATCAAGAACGTATGATCTCGACCGTTTCTCTTTTCATTATCGTTTATATTATATTCTTAAACGTTTTTCAGCATGATTATAAAATGAAGCCAACTGTTACAACTTAGCAAATAAATTATTACTAATTGTTTGGCAACATGAAAAAATACAAATTCAGGTTTTTTAAGAGTGGCTAGAGATTTTAGACTTTAAATCTTTTTGCAACACATACTCTATCCACTCTAACATTGACTCAATGTCTTTTTGTTTAAATAAATTTGCAATAGCCGAAAAAGGTAATAATCTGAAGGCGTTGTGTCCGGCGGATATGGCGGGTGTGGCAGAACGTCTCAGGTGCAACAATTTTTATTGCGGAAGTTCATAAAGCTTTCAGCATGTTATCTGTCGAACTGTATTGTTGTGTAGTTCGTCTTCCCTTTGCTCAATCCAAATCCTAGGACTGTGCTCCAGGAGACCTTTCCCAATCATTGGTTGCAAGGGGGTTTCCATGCACAAAATAATGGTGTAGCCTTGATAAAGTGACGCACTCTCTAAAGCACAAGCTGCACGAGTTTCCTGGCGCGCATGATCGCCTTAAGCATCCTCATCATGCATTTGGACGATAGGGCCAAGGAAGCAGACAGCGTGCGAGGTCGCTAAGACTACAGCTGACCTCGGACGGCGGGTGCTTCATCAGGGGCACACCGGTGGCCGTGGACCGAGTACTTGCTTATGATCTCCGAATTAACTCCCGACCTCGTGGGAATCGGGTGGATCGGATTGCCGGGAGCGTACAGCCAGCGAGGAGCTATGACTACGCTGCCGGCGTCCTTCGTATGCGTGAGGAATGGTGGACTGCCTTTACCGTAGACATGGTTTTTTCTAGGGGGTGGTTAGAGATTCCACTAAAATCGAAACCGCGCCCGGAGCGCATCCGGAGATTTCGGCGCTAGCGGAGCCCCTACACCAAGGGAGATAGAGTTGTCGTCTCGATCTAGGGAGTGCGTGGGAGATTGGCCGATGCATTTCGACCACTTTTTGGGTATCCCTTTACGCGCGGCACTGGTTAAGTGCACCACGTTAACCACCCCCTCGGAAGGGGCAAGCGGGAGAAGTCAGCATGTCTGTCGATGAGTCTGTGGATTTGTGGGCTTCTACACAGAACCTCACGGAAGAAGCAGATTTTCCTTGCGCGGAGGTGAGTCGCTCCTAACTAACCTAAGTTTAGATTCTCAAAGGTGTGATAAGGTCTGACGGCTAGGTGCACACGCTAAAGAACCTCGATGTTACATGACATTGCGACCCCAGTGGGAACGTATGTTGTGTGGTTTGTCCCCTGTCTTTTGTATAGAACTAGATCTTAACGCATTTAATCCGGTACCTGCTTGGGACAGCAGACGTACTCTTCTTTTTCTTTCTTTAAATAGAAAATTACAGTGGTTTATAAAGACAAAAAATGATGAAAATCTCTTTTATCTTATTAATTGGATAACGTGCATTAAGTACAAATTGATTATTCTTTTTGTACAGTAGTTATTTCGTAAACAAAGGTCGTATAGTTCAACAACGTCAAGAAATCAAAAATCTGACATTATTTTCTCATCTGCCCAAACTGAGCCATTAATTCAATCAACTTTATATTTGACATTTTCAGTTTGTTGGGAAGCATCATAAATTGAGCAAGGAAGGAGGAAAACGGAACGAGCAGATATTTTATACAGCGAGTTGCCCCCTGGAGGCTTCCAAATGAGGGCCTACTTTCAAGTCGAGGCGGTTCTCTCTCGGGAAAACTCTTTTCCTTTCAAGAACTTGATACCTTGGCAATGTAAAACACGTCTCTACGTCCCAGTAACGAAATACCGGCTAAAATTACATTTTTGCATTGTAAATCATCTTAAAACGAATGAGATCTTTGTGTTTTTGTTTCTTTTTAAAAAAATTCACAACTGGAAATCTTGTAGGTCAGAGCATCCAATTTAGTAAATAAAATTATAATTACCGTTACAATAAAAAGAGCCGTGGTTTAGTCAAAAGATTTGTTGTGGCTTCTCATTCCAATGTCCAATGTTTGACACAAAAACTATGCTGAAAAACCGCTTGGTCAGAGAGTTTGAAGTGAAGGATGACTCAATGAGCGGAATGTGGTCTGAAAAATTCGAATGCTGCCATACAAAGTTCAAGCCGACCATCTGAAGTGATCAGGATGACTCTCGACTATTGAGGCAATAGCACTCGTCTATTTTCAAAATTGATTGGTCACAGTCAAGTGTTAATCGCCACGCCAAAAAGTAGTAAAAGAAGAAATCCCACAGAAACATTCCAGCCAGCTGAACAACGCATGAAGCCGTTCCAAACTTTGTAATTCAAGTGGAAAAATTTGAAGCAATTGTTTGAAAAGCACAATTTTTTATTTACGAACTTAATCCTAACATTATGATCTAACATGCTCTCTGTTTTTCGTTTGGAATGAACGCTGTAGCTTTATACCTTGGCTACAGCAGGAAACAATGGCTCATATTGGAGGGTTTAAGAGGCGTTGCCCTGCTTTAGCGGATGGAACAAAATTTTGTTTCAACAAGCAAACGTCCGGCCGCACAATGTCTGACCTAGAAAGCAAAAACTTTCCTAAGTGGATGTTATCGATCTCCTACCACTCACACTACAATCCTGACCTTGCTCCTTCAGACTACCACTTCTTCCTACCATTGACCTATTTCTGTGTTAAAAACGTGTCTAACATTTGAAGACGTAAAACCCGGACAAGACGATTTTCAATTATATAAACTAATGTATTGTATACACAAAATTCATTTCATTTCGAAACTAAAATATGCATTTTGATTAATCGTTTTTATATTTTTTCTCTTCTTTGCATTAGAACAGCATTCAGTATTAAATCTTTACTGACCAATTTACAAAGTGGTTACCAATTGTCGTTATTTTTTCACCAGCAAATCCGAGCAATGTAATAACTTTACCAGAAGCCTTCGTGAAGCTTTTATGGAAGAAAGTAATGGGAGAAATACCAATAAATGTCATACTGCCCTGAAACAACGCCCAGAACCGGCAAACTTTCTTTCCACCTGCGCTTAACTGCTTCTTCTGAACATTGAAAACTTAGCAGTTGTCAATGAGTTTTATTGACGAATTATGGCAATTCATAATCCCCTCCATCAACTTTGCTTTTTGTCTACAACACCGCAGAATAAAATAAAGTTGTTAATAAGTGCAGTTCGCCTATTTTTAGAATTTTGGAATGTGTTAAATAAAATGAACTTATCAATGAAAACGTATTAATGTAAAATAATATTTATGCTTCATTGAATTCAGTCTTCATTGAGTCTTATTTATCATTACAATCAAATTTATCGTTATGAAATACCCATTACAAGCAAATTTATCATTAAGAAATACATTATCTCACAAAATTGATTCTAAAATATGAGGTAACATTGAAACTAATTAAGTTTTGTTGCTATTTCATTAATCCCTTTAATTGATTCACATAACTATTCACATAAGAGAATATTGCTAATATATTTAATGAAGCAATGGCAAATCATGGGTTAAAATTAAACCTTTGAAGTACACTCTGATGGAGAGATTTAACGCACCACTCAATTTATTCAGTTTAAATTAAATCCATTATCTTTCTACATTAGTAACTGGTAGGAACTATCGTAGTCAAAATAAACGGTGAACATTGGTTTAGTTGCATCCCTTGTTTACTTTTCTACTGATTAATCCCATTTTCACAAGTATCATTATGCCCTTCCATTCTGCTACGCCTTATGATCGCTTTATTATTCTTATTCTTAAACTTTTTTCAATGCGCCAGTCAGGCGTTTGAGTAAGTATGTCAGTGTCAGAGTTATAACATTATTAGAGGAAGGATACAGCCAGCGCGAAGTCGCCAGGAGATTGAGTGTAAATCACTCTACAATAGGAAGGGTTGTTCGATGCTTCAGAGAAACAGGACTTCATGCTTGAAGCCAGGAGAGCGTCGATCCGATATCTGATCTGATAAACCAAGTCCAAAATGTTTCGTCCAGGACTGTAAGAAGAAGGCTGAATGATTCAGCATGCCAGGTTTCATTTCATACGAGAACATGTTAATTGGACATTGGAAATTAAGGACGAAAGTTACAGATGTGGTAAGAGTTGGCCTCAAATATTAAAATGGGCGTTTATATGGAGACGCTCAGAAGAAAGATACGCCCAATGCTGTATGGTTCTTTAGGTGGCATTCCACGGTGGGTCATTGATGTTCTGGTGTGGTATTTCCTTGGGCGCCCGCAAAGAATTGGGCATGGAAGATCTCTAACTTCATATAGGTACTTATAAGACATAATCGAAGAACATGTAGAACCAAAAATTTCCCCACTTCGGTGAGAGATTCTTACTAATGCAGGATAATGTCAGGCCTCATAGAGCATCGGATTGTGGATGACTACCTGAATGAGGATGGAATTGAGTGCTTGATGTGGCCAACTCGAAGTCCAGTTTTGAACCCAATCGAACAAATTTGGGACCCTCTTAAGCAACAACGATAACAGATAAACCCAGGTCTTAACACCCTAGAAGAGTTGGAAACGTCGTTCTTGACGAATGGGAAACAATTCCTCAGGATCCGAGAGGAAAACCGAATAAAAAAGTAATTTTTTGTTTTGTGTTTTAAATTTTTTTTTCTTCTTTACTCAATAATTTTTTTTTTACAATTAGGTAATAAGCATTTTATTGTTAAATGTTCAACCAAACTTATTTTTAGTGTAAAAAAGTATGAAGAAACCAAAATACGTTAAATTTTGTCCATCAGCGTACTAATGCTGGAATTGAAAACAATTGTACATTGTTTTAAGAAAGTTAGTGCCCTAAGTAATACAAGGGAAACAAGAAGTTTCCGTACTTCAGTAGTTTAACAATGGTCCGGCTTAGAAGGATCTTA